CTAGCAGAGGATGAGACGCTCACCGGCGTGCTCGTCGCGTCTGACGGACTCGTCTCGGCGCCCATCACAGCGGGCGAGCTCTGCCGGGGCGTGCTGCTCCACACGGACGCGGCTGGCACGCTGCTTTCCTCGCTGCGCGCATGGTTCCCGCCCGGCTGTGCGGTGCAGCCGTCGCCGTGCGGCACGCACGTGGGACCGCTCAGTCTCAAAGGCGCCTGCTGCTGCGTCCTCCTCCCAAAGCCCGTCACCGATGCGCTCGCGATGAGCGAGGCGCGCCTACGGCCACCTCTCGACCACCTCTGGCCACCTCTCGGCCACCTCTCGACCACCTCTCGGCCACCTCTCGGCCACCTCTCGACCACCTCTGGTCACCTCTGTTCACCCACCTCTCCCGCTCGCGCCCGCCCTCCGCCTCTCCGGCGACTACCGCACAAAGAGCACAATCAAGCCGCACGCACGCACGTTCGGGGACGAGCCAATAGCGATGACAAAGATCGCGCTGACGGCACCGGGTTGCACTTGGTCAGACGGCGCCGGGTTGCACATAGGCGCGCGTCGTCGGCCACATGAACGGTGCGCGTGCGGCCCGGGCGAGACGCACACCGCGAGATAGCCACGTGGGCCTTCGAGCAGGCACGACTGCGTCGCCTGAGCCTCCCAGGCTTAGCCACGGACGACTGCGCTGCGTAGAGGGGAGCCGGGTGCCGGCCTCTCAGCCCCCCCAAGGGAGGCCGCCTGCGACCTGCGGTCCCTTCCACCATGGCGCGAGAGATTCAGCGGCACTCCGAGAGAGCAGGACTGAGGCTTGCACGCCGCGCGTGTCGGCTAGCATTTAGTTTGTGTGTGTGGTGCCGTCACGGCGTGATGCAACCCCTCGCGGGAAAACACCATCATGTCCCCCTTCACGGGCGACGGCAAGCACTTTTAGGCGACCACGCCGACTCGTGCCTCGCGTACGCACGCGGCCTCTGCGGCGTGGCGGGCGCGACCAGCGCGCAGATGACGGGCGTGAGCTGCGCCGGGTTTGCTCTTGAGGTGGCAGTGGAGGGCGAGGCAAAGCTGCGCAAGCTGCTCGTCCGCTTCCCGGTGCCGCTGCGGCACGCGTCACAGGTGCGCGGGTTCGCCGTCGAGCTGCACCACGCCGCCTTCGCCGCGCTCGGCCTGCACTACCGCCTAAGGCACGGCTACTACCGGCGCGGCGCGCTGATGGCAATCGCAGGCGTCGCAAAGGCGATCGCGAAACGGCGAGTTCAGCTCGGCGCGGTCGGGCTCGCCGCCGCCGCCCTCGTGGTCGCCGTCGCCGCGCGCCGCCGCGTGGGCTAGTGACACGTGAGAGGCGCAGTGTTTCACGTGGGTGGTTGCACTCGCGCAGTGTTTCACGCGCAGCTCGTGCATGGATGGGCGGCCGCGAAGTCGACTGCGCACCGCGCCCCGACCGCTGCCACCGCTCGGCGGCCGCGCGCGGCGAACTAACAGAAGACCCGCCGGCTCGCTGGCATCACAATCGAGCATCACAAGAGTTGCGCGTGCTTCGCGCGAGGTGCAGGTGGGCGTGCGCGAATGTATATTTTTCTTCGTGACAGTATCTAACACTGTGTCTTCGTTGTCGGTCGACAACACAGTCACAGACTCGAACAGACACAGGCTGTGACACAGAGGAGATTCCAGAGTCTACGGGCAGCCACGGCTTTACAGGTCGAGCCGACCACCCAGAGGCCAGCCAGCGCGCACGACTATTATCCGCGCGCGCAGCACCGCAGCACAGGAGTTGCACCCATAAGCCTTAGGAGTTGCACCCATAAGCCCATAGATGCTTGCCCTTGCGCACCACCCCCTTACAGACGCCGCACCCGTACATGTAGTGCTAGATCTCCGAGAGCCGGTGCCTGCTGCCTTTCACACAACCACCAGAGGCGGCATTTGGATTGGCTGCCACCGCACGGCACCGATTGAGACGGTCCACACGCGCCGCCGACACACCCGTTCCTAGGCCCCCGCACGGCCGACTCAGCCGACCTGCGGGACAGAGTCGACGGTGCCGTCCTCTTTGACGCGGATGCGGACGCGGTCCTCGCGAAAGTCCATTGTCATCATGTCGTCCACGCCGACCAGCGACACTGACAGGTCCGGCCGCGCGGCGCGGATGGCGGCGGCCGCCGCCTCACCGCTACTGCCAACCAGGTCGGGCCAGCTGCGGGCGGCTGAGGCGCCGGCGCCGCTGCCCGCGCCGCCTGCCGCGTCCACCGCCATCTTCTCCGCCACCCATTTGGCCAGCGTCCCGCTCCCCATGCCGTACCCGCCGGGCAGCGGGCGCAGGTCCCGCGTCTGCTTGAGCGGCGGCCGCCCCCAGTGCTCAGGGAAGCGGCCGCTCGCGGCTGGCGCAGCCTCGGGCGCGAAGAACTTGCTCCGGTCGCGCGCGACCTTGGCTCCGGACTCGTCCACCCCAAGCCGCCTCTGCTGCTCCTCGGTGTAGAAGAGCGCATCGTACGAGCCCATGTTGCGCACACCCTCCGGCTTTTCTATCTCGCCGCGCGTCCATGCAGGGCCAATCACGCACAGGCCTCCCCGTCCCGCGCCGCTGCCGCCCGCGCCATCCACACCAACACCCGCGCAGTCGCCCGCGATATCGCTGCCCGTGTGCTCCCTCATTGCGAGCGTGGAGAGCTCTCCCGTGTCGAATCGCGCGCAGAAATCACCAAACCCGAGCGGTGGCGGCTCTTGGTTCTCAAAGCGCTGCCGCAGCTCGGCAGTGTGACGTGACCACAGCGCGTCTGGCATCCCGGCCAGCACACTACCGTCGATTCGGTCGAGGCCTTTGACGAGGACCATGCGGCGGAGAATGGAGCGCGTCGTAGCAGCCGAGAGTAGGCAGCTAGGAAGCCTAGGTAGCGCTAGACCTCGCCTTCTTTAGAGTGGCCGGACTGGGACGCGGCCGACTCGGCGTTCGAGCGTTTTGTTATTTTTAGATTTCACCTCTTCCGACCGAAATACTTGTTGGTGTGAGTGGTGGGTGGGTGGTGGGGGTGGGGGTGGTGTTGTTGGCGAGAGTGTCTCTTAGTGAGACACGCACGGGTGTCGGTGGTAGCGAGTGAGCCGCGCGCGCGCGCAGCGCGGCGCGGCTCGGTGGGAGTCGTGATCATCATCTGCCGAAGAACTCCTCCGCGATCCACTTGGCCGTTTGCGTGAGGCCTCCCTTCTGCAGCGCGAACTCGTGGCGGACGCCCGGCTGGCCGTGCCGCGTGACCGAGAAGCCTGCGTTCTTGAAGCGCGCCCACGCCTGGTCCTGGTTGGCCACGGGATAGGTGTTGTCCTTCTCTCCCACAAAGTAGAAGACCTTGATCGCGGTGGCGTTGGGGTCGACGAGTGCGGGCTCCCCATCGCCCTCGTGCTTGTTGATGTTGACCTGCGCGAACGCCATCGGCAGCGTGTCGATCGCGATCAGCGCCTTCGCGGGAGGCCGTGCTCGTGAACGAAGGCTTGAGCTGTACTGCGGCCGAGGCGGCAATGGTGCCGCCCTGGCTGTAGCCGCCGATGATAACCTGCGACGCGAGTGCCCTGTCAGCTCAGCGGCGGGGACTGGGGCGCACTAGAGCTAGAGCACGCAGAGCGTCACGCACTACGGCGCGGGAACCTTGCTCGCATCGCCGCCGAGCTTCTCCGCCTCCTCGTTGACCATGTTGACGAGCATAGCCACCGATTCATCAGCTTCACTAAAAAATACCCTCGCACATTCTAGAAGGGGGGGGTGGGGGGGTGAGTTTCAGAGCCGCGCGCCGGTCCCGGTCCCCGCTCCGCGCGGCCGCGGCAGAGAGCTCCACAAAGAGGCCACAACCAGTAAACTCTCAAGTCCAGACGGCCAAGAGCAAGAACGCGGTAGTGACGGCACACACACGGAGAGAGGCGGCCCGTCGCTCGTGAGAGAACGCGCACCACCCACGGCCGCCTCGCCCTCTCTCCTCTCTCAGAGCCGCACCCCCGTGTCGTACCACGATGAGACGCCCTCTCGCCCCTCTCTCTCGCCCGCAGCCTCGCCTGCTGGCGCAGCCTCGGCGTCGCCCGCCGCCGCCTCGCCTGCTGACGCCGCCTCCTCCTCTGCCACCACCTCGCTCACCACGATCGCCAGCTCGTTGCGCCGCCGCCACGGGATGGCGTACGGCGCGTTGTACTGCAGCACCTACGTGGCGAGTACGCCGACATCAGGGCGGGAAGGCGGTCTTGTGCAGTGTGTTCAGAGCACCGCGTGAGTACGAGGGGCTGCGAAGACAGTGAACCTCTCGAGTGCTACTTGGAACACAAGAATGCGCAGTTGCAACTAGGCTGCAGCACCGAAAAGGCTCCCGCCTCGACGGGCGCCGTGCCTGGGTTCGGGTACCGTGTGGTTAGGGGATGGGTGCGGGTGCCGCGGGGTAGGGGGTCTCGACGGGCGCCGTGCCTCCGTCCGCCTCGATGGCCGCCTCGAGGGCATCGCGCTGCCGCCGCACCTCGCCGTCGGTGACGACGCCGGCGAACGCCTTGACGGCGACGATCCGCGCGGGCACCTCGTCGAGCGCGACGCCGCCGTCGGCGTTCGGCCGCGGGGGCGCCCGCGCCGCGTCCCTCGGGAGCACGAAGCTCATCGAGCTCGCGGCGCCTCCGCCGGACACGTCGATCCCAACCGGCGTCGTCATCGCCATCGCAGCGCCGTCCGCCTGCAGCAAGAGCAGCCACCGTGAGGGCCTGTGGGGCACGGTCTCGTGTGCCGTGTGAGACTCGCCGAGATATGGGGAGATAGGGGGAGATGTGATGAGATATGGGGAGGTGTTCCGCTTCTAGCGACGCCCGCGTTGTCCCCAAAGAGGTATGAAGCGAGCGCGTTGAAGCCCGCGCCGCCGCCCTCGACGGCGCCGAAGCCCGCACCTGAGTCCGGGTACCGTGGGGGTACGGGATGGGTGCGGGTACCGTGGGGGTAGGGGGTCTCGACGGCGCCGAAGCCCGCACCGCCCATGCCCTTGCGCGCGACGGTGAAGGGCGGGTAGCTTCTCAGCTCGACAACGCCGTCGAGGGCGCCCGGCCCCGCCCGCCACGAGCGGAGCACGCGGTACTTTGGCGTCTCGAGCCTGTTATGAGGGCTGTTGGAGTGCGAACTGAACACCACCCACGCGGTAGTGTGCAGGGGGGCCAATCGTGGTGAATGAAGAGAGACGCGCCCGTTGTGAGCTGTGAGATTGTGAGGGTCGGCCCGCGGGCAGATAGGAGACTGGAATGCCCCGAGGCTGTTTCATGAGCCACGCCGAGGTCAGGGGGGGCGGGAGGGACGGTATTGCGCCGTGCCTTCAGAGCAGCGCGTGAATACACGGGCTACGGATGCAGCGAGTACCGCGGAAGACGGCAGAAGACGGCGGGATGCAGCCGAATCCCCGTGCCCCCCGAGCGCTACCGGGAAGAGGCGTCCACGCTTTCCGCTTCTAGAGTCTCCTTGCCCCTTGGGCGTAGAGCGGAGCGCGTTCTTCGCCTCCTGCAGCAGCTCGCGCTGCTTGCGCTCGTCGCCGGCCAAGTCCGCAAGTGCCCTCGCCACGCGCGTAGGGTCGATCGGCGCTGCGGGTGCCGCGGCCCTGAGAGGCGTGGCGAGGGGCGGTGAGAGGGAGGAGAGAGGAGAGAGGAGAGAGGAGAGAGGAAAGAAAGGAGGAGGAAGAGAGAGAGAGAGAGAGAGAGAGAGAGAGAGAGAGAGAGAGAGAGAGAGAGAGAGAGAGAGAGAGAGAGAGAGAGAGAGAGACGCAGGCACCTGAGCTGCTCCACTGTCGGTGGCGCCAGTCCTTTGGTGAGCTCCGGCAGCTGCTTCCGCAGCGCGACGAGGCCCTCGAGATCCGACCTGGCCGTCGTGCCGTCGGGAAAAAGGAGGTCAAGGAGGATCGGGTGGCCCTTGCCGATCCCCTTCTCTTGAACTTCGGCCGCCGCGACCCGCACGTCACTGACGATTTTCTTGCCATCCCCGGCCACCTTCTGCAGCAGGCGGATTCGCTGCTGCGGGTTCTTGTCGACGTCGAGGAGAGCCTGCGCAAGTCAGAGGAGACGTGAGCACACGCACTCAGGGGGGTCACCCAAGCAGTTGTGAGAGCCTTGTCAAGCCGCTTCTGCCAACTGGTGGGCCGTTTCGCCTTGTCGAGGCGGCGCTGAAGGCCCTCGGGCGAGTAGGCAACGCCACTGGTGACAGCCAGCGAGGCGAGCGTCACGACGATGACGACAAGCTGGACCATGCTGAGTGTACGCGAAAGGCGAACAGGCACTAGCCTGCGAGCAGTCGCCTGCGAGGAACTGGATGCGTGTGTGCGAGTTCATGGAGCCTTCCAGGTTCTCTATTCACAGCCTTGTTATTGAGAAGAAAATACCTCCTATGGCGCTGTGCGCTGGCCTGTGAGAGGTTGAGGTGCGAGCCCTGGAGGCCCTGGGGATTCACACAAAAACACAACCACGGACCCACAGGAGGCAAGACGCACAAGCTATTTTGTTCACAAGAATGAACTTTATACAACCGCGGCCTCCTCGCCGCGCATGCACCGAATCCGATTTAGTGCGCGATCTCCGGCTCCCCCCCGCAAGGCGCAACAACACACACACACACACAAGAGAGGCTTCGGCTGGTAGTCGACAAGCTGCCGAGCCCAAGTCACACTGTCACAGCCGCATTCGTCGCCGGCGCGCGACACGTTCCCGTCGGCCGGACTGTCCTCGCCGAGTGCGTGCCGCTGAGGCGGGACGCACTCAGGGACAGTGCCGGCGGGACGCGGCTCGAGAGGCGGCTCCCGCGGAGGCACGGCTGGCACCCGTGGCGCGGGGCTCGTCTTCGGAAAGACCAGGATCGCTCTACTGGCAAACTTCTGGCTGACACGCGCGCCCAGTCGAGCCTTCGGCGGGCGCGCTGCGGTCGCACGCCTACCCAAGACATATGCCACGGCGTGCGATCTAGATTCAGCACACGCGCCTCTGCTCGCAACCACTCATCCAATGAACTGTCGTCACCCATGAGTGCGAGTTAGGGCTAGCGGCTGGCCAATAGCCTGTGAGGAGGGCGTCCATAGACACCTCACAAGACCCCACACACGGTCTCGTCCATGCCTTGCGGCTGGCGACGAGATTGCTAGAGGCGGAGCAAGCCTGCTCTAGTCTCACACGTTCGCCCCTGTCGCCTGTCTGTGTTGTTGTGCTGTTGTTTGTCTCTTGGCACCTTGGAGTGCTGGGGGGGGCGACAGGGGGGACGTGGCCTGAGTGATGTGTACGCCCACTCAGGATGTGTGGCAGCCCCCGCTGGCTGTGTGTGTCTTGTGAGCTTGTTTGTGTCTGTGTGTCGCTCGTGCGTGTCGTCATCATCTGTCTAGCGTCCACCCATACCGCGTCGGTGTCCAGTCCGAGCCTGACTGTTCTTCACCTTCCTACATACGTATGTTTGTAGTGGCGCGATTGTGCGTCAGGCGAAAGGCGAGCGCCGGCGGAAGGTGGCACGCCGAGCGTGTCAGCCAAGGGAGGCGATTGCGCGTCAGGCATAGTTGTTGGTTTCCGACGACGTCGCCTTCGCTTCGGCTTGCGATGCCGAATCCGCTCCTGTTCGTCGGCAAGGGCGCGGCGCTGACGGCGGCGGCCCGAGCGGCTGACAAGGCGAACGAAGGCGGCGGAGCATTCCAGCGGCTGGGCGAGGGCCGCGGCGCGGCAATCCGGCTCGCGTGGCCGGCGGAGGCGCTGCACACCGTGCCGCACGAGAGGCGGGCGGCGGCATACATACTGTCAGTGCCAAAATTCTTGTTCGCTTCTAAAATCTCTCTCACACACACACAGACACAGACACAGACACACACACACACACACATACACACACACACACACCACGGCTTCCTTGGCCTTGGCCGGCAGAGCAAACAAAGAACGCCTCGTGTGGGCTCTGGCCACCTCGAGCGGTCGACGTGGAGCTGTCTCTTCGAGCGGGCACAACAAACCGGCAAAGCTCCGACTACTCCTGTGTCACGGCCGCCTCACGAGGCAGGGCGGATCTTGATGCGGCGTGTGCGGCCTGCGGCCTCGAGGGAGGCAACAGCGCGCCTCGCAGACGGCGCGGTTGTTGCTGGGTTGGCGCCCAGGGAGATTGAGCGCAGTTGAGAGTTGAGTGGCATGGAGTCGATACCACGAGCCAGCCACAGCACGCAACACTCGTCAACCTGATTATCTTGCAGCCAGAGCACCTGGACGCCAGTCATGAGGCCGCGCGAGAGCGCAATGGCTAACAGGTAGCACTCCAGCCGCCCGACTCCGCACTGGCTCAGGTTCAAAAGCTCGGTCGGAGACGGCGGCGGAGGAGCCACGAGCAGCTCGAGCAGCTCGTCGCTCTGCAGCTGCAGCTCGACAAGGAATCGGCCGCAGTGCCGGCGGCTGGACTGGCGACGGTAGCGCTGCACGAGGCTCTCCGCCGCATCGACCGCGAGCCTCGACCGCTCCTGGGAGGGGAGGGTGGGGTCAGTCAGTCCACGCTGAGTCAGGCAAGGGCTGCGCTACTTCTCCCCGCCTCCACGCCCTGGCAGAGTTTCGATGTCGTGAGAGACCTTTGCTCGTTTGCTGCTACTATACCGCATCTTGCTGCAGCAAGAGAGGAATGGCGTGTGTGTTATGCTTCCTCCCTCAAATCGCTTTCTGTTTGTAATGGACGGTGCGCTCCTGCCTCAGCGTGCGGAGCAAAGAGGAGGATGTGGAGCAGAGGAGGGTGAGGGTGCGGAACGCGTCCAACTTGGATGTTCCTAGAGTCGCCATGTGCGCCAGGAGATCGAGCGGAAGGTGAGCTATGGGCGACGCGCTCGTACAGCACGCCATTTGGACAGAAGGACGCACGAGTTTGGTTTGAGTTCCGGCACGTACTTTTAGCTTACTGGGAGAAAAGGGAGAGGGGGTTGTGTTCTCTAGGCCCCTAAGGAGAGGGGGTTGTGTTCTCTAGGCCCCTAAGGGCCCTACGCGCGGCGTGAGAGCTCGGAAGCGAGCTTTGCACGCGATCGAGGATGGCGCGACTCACCTAGATTCGCGACTCCACACCCAGACATACACACATTCGCTTGTTGATGAGTGCGTTCGACGCGCGAGAGGAATACGCGAGGGTATGAGCGGCGCAGAGCCTCACGCTCGCCTCGGGCTCCCGCAAATGTCATCGTCTGCAAAGGCCCCAGCCGGCAAAACAGAATCCTCTTCTCGACAACTTTAATCGAACCAGAGCCGCTCCGCCTGCCGCGGCCATTTTACTGTCCGAGAATATTGCCCAATAGTCCCTTGGCCGCCTTTCCGGCGTCGCCGCCCAAATGCTTGTCGACGAGTTTGTTCACTTGCTTCTCGGCCTCGGCAAGAGCTACCGACTCCCCCACCTTCGACACATAAACCTTGGCAATCGTGGTCGCGAGCGCATACGGTGCAGCGCCGCTCCCACCGCCGACATTGGACTGCCGCAAGGCAGGGATTGTGGTGCTGAAGTTCTTGCCGCCAACAGCCGAGAGATCCGCCGCAAGACTGGTGTCGGCGATCTCGAGTCGGTTGATCCGCAATCGAGAAGAGGAGCCAGCGGAGGTATCCGTCGACGGCGAAGGCTTGCTCGAAGACCCCGAATCATCTGCTAGAAGCGCCTGGATATTTGTCGATCCATTTGCGCCCAGCACCAGATTGACCGACGGAGACCGCACCGTCACCTCGGTGATCACGATCGGCTCCCGCGACAAGATTGATGCCGGGTCAATCCTGATCACAATATCCTGAAACGAGATTGCCTCACCGCTGAAGCCGCTCGGATTCGCCACGGTCAGACCGGAAATCGAGCCTTTGGCTTCCTTGAGCGATATGCGAACATCCGATACGCGAACCGTCGTCCCCAGAGCATATGTTCCACTTTTTTCGATCAAGCTGGCCACAATCCTGTCGATGGAGTTGGCCAGATAGTAGAGCCCAGTTCCCGCCAATAGCACCAGAACGACCAAGCAAACATGCACATGATGCGCCTGCATATGCTCTGAGGTCACAGTATGGGCATATGCGTCCGAAGACGCGAGGTGGGACGTGCGCGCAGACGGACACGGAATGAGTTTTTTTTAACTTAAACGAAGGGATTCCTTTTTCACCCTTGCGGACCCGTTGCTGTTTTAGATCTCGAAAGGAACGGGCAGATTTTGACTAACAAAATAATAATAATCACCCGAATACCACGTTCGGATCGCTCCTCATCGCAAACCCTGTCAGCAGTTCACCTACGGGTATGTTCGTAAGAGCTACATACATACACTGAAAATAATGAAGAGCTACATACACTGTACATACCCCCAAGGGCCTAGAAATCGCGCCTGCCTCTCCCTTTTCTCCCAGTGAGCTAACAGTACGCACACTGAAAAACTTGGTTGGGGGCACAAGACGCGGTAAGCGGGTCATCCTCTCCATCCATCCAGCTCTCCTCATCCCAATCAATCCCGGCCGGCGCCCATCCTCCGCGTCGTCCAGGTAGGGCAACCACGCTGACTGCGTTCTCGCACATGCAGTGAGTGCGAGGTGGTACCACTCGTCTGTCGTCGTCCCAAACTGTCCCCATCTCTCTCTCTAAGGCCGAAGTCGATCATCTTGAGCACGTTGCTGTCGGCGCTCTCGTAAACAAAGTTCTGAAGCTTCAGGTCACGATGCACGACGCCGTGCTGATGGCAATGCAGAACGATTCACATCATCGTATGCACCAGTTCTGCCGCCGCCGCCACCTCGTATCGGCCGTTTGGTTGCGTGCGCAGCTTCTTCTCCAGGTCCCCGCCAGAGCACAGCTCCATCACCACGAAGATGCCCGTTTTATTATCGAAGCTCTCGATGATGCGGACAATGTTTGGGTGATCGAGAGAAGCCTGGATCTTGATCTCCACCAGCAGATCTTCTCGAGAGTTGCTCGAAAACAATGCCATCTTCACTCTCTGGACTTTGAGAACACTACATTCTCTCTCTAAGTGCCACACGCGGTGTTCACGACTGAACGCGCGGTTGACGAGCGGCTTCATGGGCTGCGGCAGCAGCTCAGAGGTGCCAAGCCGCCCGGGATTCTCGTTCAGACACGAAGGCTACGAAAGCGATGTGAAGGCCAAGCGTGCCGCGCATGCTGCCATGCTTCTGCGGCACCACGGCCCCAAACCTGATGGCAAGGGAGGCATTGTTCCTGCTCACAGAGCTCTACTCGTGTAAAACCGATGTGCAGCTCGGAGAGGGTGCCTTCGGCTCTGTCTTCACAGCTCAGAGGCACAGCGACCGACAAAGAGTTCGCAGAGAGAGACTCTCAGCCAGAGACAGAGAGAGGGTGACTAGACAGTACGTCGTTCTCGAGACGTCGTTCTAACTGGCCCTAAATAAATAAATAAAAACGGACACCTTTCTACTGTGAGATGGGTAAAAAGGAACAGGTCCCCGCCCTTGCGATCTTTGTGCAGGGTTTTTTGTGGGTGTGGTCGGCGACTAGCCGGGGTCGTCCTCCCGATGGGGAACTAGCACTAGCCGTCTTCCACATGGTCCCTCGGGTCCCTGCTGCTCCTAATCTCTTCGTACATCCTCCTGCTGATCTCCGCAAAGTCCTGCTCCCTCCCTCGTCTCGCTCTGCGCGTCTGCTCCGCCTCCACATCGTCTGCCCTGCGTCGTCTGGCGACGGGTCCTCCATAGTCGGTTGAGGTCGCCGCCCTCCTCGTGCCTCTTCCCAACGTTCCCTCGGCGGCCGATGCCGTCTGCTCCGGCTCCGCCGTCCCCGTGTCTGCCCTGCTCTCGTCCGCGCTAGCTTCTGTTTCGTCATCACTGGTGTCCCTCCTCTTCTGTCTCCTCTTGTTGTATGCTTTGTACATCGCGTCGATTCCTGTTCACGTGAGCACCATCCTGAAGCCCGCCCAGCAGCTGAACCGCTCCCTAAGTCGAAGGAGCATCATCAGTCTCACCCACTTCGCTCGCTGCCCACTGTCACCGCTCCCTCCCGCTTGAGCCGCCGTCGCGGCCCTCGTTCGTCCCACTGGCTGTTGGCCCGCCCCTTGCGTTGCCTGCGTTATCCCTCCTCCTCCGCGACTCCCTCAAGGCCGGCCGAGCCTCTTTCCACCCAGCGAAGAGCTTCCTCAGCCACTCGATGTGTTCCTCTCTCTTCACTATGCGCGCCGTAGCCTCATCATTGAGCTGGATCCACCTCTGCACCGCGCCCGTCGCCGCCTCGGCCACGACTTGCAAGTTCCTCGTGACCCCTGCGCCAAGGTCCCTCCGGCTCTTCTCCGAGAGGTCATCTACCAGCGCCGGCAACACCCCCCCGACGGCTGGGGCTAGTGCACCGTACCCGTCCTCATCCAGCACCCATAGTGTGAGCCCTTCAGCGCAGCGACATGCGCTATTCTCAGCGTCTTCAGCGTATCCTTGGAGTCGGGTGCCGCCTGTGCTACTTTGCTGATCGCCGTCCCCGTCTGCGCTCGCGCTACTCTGAGGAACCATCTGGCCTGCTCCCTATTCCCCAGGCAGGCGCCGCTAAGCAAGTGCGCCATTGTCGCTCTAGGCGGGTTCTCATCTTCCTCGGTCCATTGCTGCGCGGCTTTCCGCACGATCGGGCACAGCGGGTCCCGCTTTAGTGCCGCCCTCCTCGCCGCGTCCCTCGCGGCCTTACATACGAGGCAGCCCCTGAGTTCGCTCCTCGTGGCGGCGCCCGGGGTCTCTCTCCCCGCCTCTCCCCGCATGATCCTCTCGTGGTGCGCTCCGTGTGGCACCCCCGCCTGCTGCCGCACCCGCGCTCCCATGACGGTCTTTGTCACCACGTTGTGATCATCCACGTCGGCGAATTCAATCTCTATAACTGGCCCTTCTTCTGTCTCCTCTCTCTTTTCAGACCGGTTTTCAGCCACGAGAGAGAGAGAGAGAGAGAGAGAGAGAGAGAGAGAGAGAGTAGAGAGAGAGAGAGAGCGAGAGAGAGGGAGGGCGAGGGAGAGAGAGAGAGAGAGGACGGAG